AGGGGGGGGGGGTATGGCGAGTATGCAACGTTTCTCTCCCAAATAAGGTGGATACAGAGTTCCCAAAACGCGAGCGTGATTTTCACGCTAGGCGTGATGAAAGTCGGTTCCTGATTGGCTGTGTGAAGCTTACGAAGCGTGAAAAATCACGTCTGGCGTGAAAAATCACGATTTGCGTGAAAATCACGCTTGTGTTTCGTGAACTCTGTATCCACACATACCACCATCCGGGTGCTGTGTTCTTTTCAAATTGCATACTTAACTTTCTTGGGGTGAACAGGGACACCTTTATTCCAAGTGTACAGTCACTACTGACTGATGTCGGCCCACTTCACCCCCACAAAGGTGCTTGTTTCCAGGCTTTCCAGGCCAGGGGTTGGTGGTTGGGGGGGAAGGGGGCGGCGGACGGGCAGGGGCTGGGTCGAGGCTAAATCTTTGCCCCCTTCCCCACCCCCCTACCCTGGTGCCCCAACGGGGGACGGCCGATCAATGCAGAGGCGGCCGCGCCCGCCCTGGCTCTTCTAGCTCACCCGACTGATTCTGCCGCCTGTTCACCCCGTCAGCTGAGCAGATTGCTAAGAGATGCTTCTTCTGCCTTTGTAAAAGTAACCGATAACATTTTTATTTAGAACATCGGCGCATATACGGGGAGGTTGCAGTTGGCGCAAATATAGAGCACTCGTATTCAAACACTGTGACGTCACATTTCAAAGACTGTGGCTCTTGTCACATTGGGTTAGAACATAGCTCCCTCTCACTCCAATACCTCTTGTTTTCGGGTTGCTGTACGTACGTGGACACTTTGCACCAGACTGTCTTGGTGTACCATCACCTCGTTTTGCACACTCGTTGTAGACAGTATGGCAGCACGGTAAAAACGGCGTCTTATTTTTAGGAAAATCTTTGTGGGCCTTCCATATTTCAGGAAAACTCCCCAGATTTCACCTCAGATTATAAGGAACCCCCTTAAAAAAAAATAAAGTAAAACCCCGTGTTTTTTGAGGAGTCCTCCTTGAAATCTGAGGGGTCTTCCTCAAACCAAGAGAGTTAATCAAAGTTTTCCCCTTCCCCCCCCCAAAAAAAAAAAAATGAGACATTGTTTTCACCGTGAGTCGGAAAATATGGATATATTTTTTGGTAAAGGCTTCCCGTTCTAGTTGTCGCTGGGCGGGCGTCTCGCTAGTCACCCTCGTCCCCGTGCTCCGTGGCGAAGTCGTGTGACGCTGGTGGTACCTTAGCGCCCCTCTGATAAATGCCCCCCCCCCCCGCCCTCACCCGCCCCCAACAACGCTCTTTCGGCCCCGTCAAACCCAGATGCCTCGAGGCGAGTCGCGCGTCCATCGCCACACAACTCGTGCTGCCCGGGTGAGCCAGGTGAGCCGGGGGGTCTGTCACGACATAAGCGACGCTCTGCAAAATTTAAAACAGCATATGCTTTCAGTATGTAGCCGCATCGAGACTGAACCGCACACTAAACTAACGCGGGGCCGCGAGGGGGATGCCCAGTTGTTCTAGGCAAAAAAACGAACATGATCCCATATAGAAAATAATGGTGGTGTAGGTACCTGCATTCCTTTTTCTTTCATTCACGGTGACGATGACGTCAACGGAGAAGGACACCGTGCGCCATGAAGATGAAAATAACTCGCAACATTTTAAGACCGTTTTTGAAAAGTTGCTTATTGAAATCTTTGCATTATTCGTCGAGTCATAAAAAAATTGGCTGGTCGGGTCGGCCTGGGCCGGCGGTGGGGCGGTTGTGTCGATGACACCGTTATGACTCCCGAGCGGCTGTTATTGTGACGGGCTCCTTCAGGGTGAGGGGACCTCTTTGACGTCAGCGACAACGAGTTGTAGCGGCGTCGGCGCATTGCGGAAGTACATCCGACAGGAACATCATCACCCTCTCCGCCCCTCCCCCCTTTTCTTCCCCCTCGTTGCTCTGTTCCCATGGACGAGGAAATCAATAATTTCTGCTCATTCGAGAAAAGAAAGGAAACGTTGAAAAAAACCGCTGGTGGTTAATGTCTTTCTCTTCTCTCACCCCCCCCCCTCACGCACGCACATACATGCAAAGTGTTAGTGACAAAAACTAAAACATCAAGATCTACGACGAGCCACAAGCCCCTGGACGCCTGACGAGCAGAGGATAGGCCACCAGCCCAAACGAAGTGCACCTATTGCCCATAACTAACCCGCAAGCGCCTGAGCCTCAACTCATCAAGGCTTGTCTGGGTTCACCCTCTTACCCTTTACCTGGACGGCGACCTGCAGCGACTTACATCGGCGGCCTTCTGTGTAGGTGTGTCTTGGAGTGGGAGGGAGGGGGGAGCGAGTGAGTAAGTGTGTCCAAGCCGGACGGCACTGACCTCTTGCTGTCACTTTATGTGACAGCAGTGCCGACAACGTGCCGGCGCACGAGCCGCGCTCGCTGCCAGCTCCGCACAAAGTTGGTACTGCTACTACTACTACTACTACGCGTGCACGCGCTGGCTCGGCGCTAGACGCACCGGCTTGAGCAGGAGCACGTCGAACTCCACCCAGCCGGGTGCCCCTGGGGCGCGTATGACGGTAAGGCTCGCAAGAGAGGTACCCGCGTTTGTCCTCGCCCTTTAATCGGTGCCGATATTTATTTTCCCTGGGCGTTATTGACCGCACCCCCCTCCTCCGCCGGCTGCACGGCGGCCATGCCGGTGCTGGCCGTCGTCGTGCCCCCAGGCCTCCGTGGATTTTCGCAACCTTTCGTATAACCGTTTTGCACGCACGCCGCTCACACCAGCCACACCACGGCTAATCGGAACGCCGCCGCCGCCGCCGCCAGCCCGCCGCGGAGCGTGGCGGGGCGGGATCCGGTTTGGATCCGCAGATAATCCGGTTCGCCAATAAGCGGCGCCGGCGGGCGCTGGTTATCGCGAATTATGGGGCCAGGGCGCGGTGGGGCGGACCAGGACGAGGCAGGGCGTGGCGGGGCGCGGTGTGGCGTGGCAAGGTGACTCCCCGGAACCAGCCGAGTGTGCGCGATGGTCGGGGGATAACGGTCTGCAAGCGCGAGTTGCGGTTGGACCAGGAACCCACAGGGACCCACAGGGACCCACAGGAATCCACAGGAATCCGCAGGGGTGCCCGCAGTGTTTCCCACAGGGTTTGCCGCAGGGACCAACAGGCACCCACAGATACCAGCAGGGACCAGTAAGGACCCGATGGGACCCGCTGGGGCTGG